CCTGGGGGAGGGGCACCTGCCAGGTGGGCCCATAAAGAGGTGAGTGTCTGAGACCACAGCGACAATGAGCATTTACTTCTCCGTCCCCGCTGACATGGGGCCTTCGCCTGCCCTGTGGGTGATGTTCATCCTGCTTAAAGGCCAGACCTCAAACACCCAGCCAGGCATGATCTCCTTACAGAGTTTCCAGGAAGACCAGGTCTGGGGGCCGGGTTGGAGGGGGAGAAAGCCAGGGTCCAAGTGCAGGGAGAAAGGAGGGCCATGGTGGCCGGGGAAGGCACCACCCGGGGAACCCAGCATGGCCAGCCTGGTCTCAGTGTCCTCCCCAGAGATTCCTGACATCCAGCAGAAAAGGGCCCCGAACAGACCTTCTGGGCAGCCGCTCCCTCCTGTAGCTCCTGCCAGTCCCCGTGAGGTGGGGACGTCTCAGTCCCTCCACACAGATGGGGAAATAGTCTGGACAAGACCAGCCACTGGGCCAGGTCACTCTGTCCCTGCCAGACCCAGGGCAGCCCCCGGCTTGGCGCAGGCACAGGCTGCCTGGCGAGGGTGTCAGGGCTGCCCTGGGCTCTGCCGACTCCGGGTCCCCACAGTTCCAGGGGGAGTGGTTTGTTGTCGGCCTGGCGGGCAGCACCCACAGGAAGACAGACAGTTCCTTGCTGAGCCCGTTCACTGCAACGTTTGAGAAGAATGAAAACGGCAGCCTTAAAGTGTCATATGCCATGACCCGGTGAGTGAGGATCCCTGACCTGTACCTCCAGAAGCCATGGCTTCATGACTCAGGTCCAGCATGGGCCCCCGTGCCATGTTCTCCCAAGATCCTCTTCCAAAAGTTCAGCACAGGCTGCTAGTGACCTAAGCCAGCTGTGGGGACACACACAAGAGTGGGGGACATTCACCGGATCACAGACTCTGAAGGGCCTTGGGCGCTGATGGATTTCAGGTACAGCTGGATCCAGGAGCTCAAACAGTGTGATCAGTCCCCATCACCTCCTCCCTCTCTCTCTCTCTCAGCTCTGCTTGCCCTGGACTTCTGTTGTTCAGGGAAGTTCTCACCTCACAGGGATAAAACATCAGCCTAGGCTGATGTGCTTTTCAGGGTTTCAATTCCAGAAAAGAGATCATCCTGGTCGGCCTGGCAACGGCCTCTGACTGGTTCTCCTGGAGTCAGGTGCTCCTCCTGGATCAGTTGCTGCATCCAGGGTGACAGGTGGTCTGGTCGGTGTGCCTGGGTAAAGTGCCTGCTCCCTGGCTGGGAAGAAGTGGGGTGTCTTCATAGACAGCTGCCTGAAATGAGGTGGAGGGGGGCGCAGCCCGCCCTTCGGGGGACACCGATGCCACGAGGGCTTCCTTCCCCTCCCAGATCTCCTGCAGTCCTGCCCCTGCCCCCTCCTTGCCCACCTGCCTGGCTATGGGGGAGCAGAGGGCCCAGAAACCTCTCTGGCTAGGGCTCTTTGGCCCCACGTTAGGTAAATGAGGAGCCTGAAACGAGGGGGGTTTGTCACGTAGACCAGGGTTAATGCTAGAAGCCGAGAGCCTCTGAGGGGCTCCACTCGGCCCCTGCCCCCGCCTGCCGGCGACCATCGTTGAAGCCACCTGCACCACCAGCCACCCCAGAATCCCCCACCAGAGCGGCTCAGACTCTCGGGGGCATCTGACTGGCCTGGTTCCTGCCAGAGGTTGATTACTGGGGGGACCGTGGGGGACAGAGAGCCCAGTGCAGATGCAGCCTCTCCCCGGCCTGCAGGCTAGGCTGCACCTGGTTGCTGCTTAAACAGGCGCATGCACCTGCATGCTGGCCCCCGCACTGCTG